ATCATTATTGTATTTGATTAAAGTCGTCCCAATATCAGACATTCTCAAGTAGTATTTGAGGTTTGCATAGGGCTATCCATTTATGTTCTACGTGTTTGCTACGACATTCCTGTGTTACTCGATGCGAGTACTTAATGTCATCTTTACAGTCTCCATTGTGAGACTACTAGTATGCTCATCCCCACTTATGCTAATACAAATACCCTAATAGCAATGTAATGAGTAAACCTTAGGATGCCATTGAATTTCACTTAGGCTTAGTTCCAAAAAGACTATATCATCCTAACTCGATTACCGTATTGACCTGGCATCAGTCCAATCAGCATCTCCTATGGGATCCAAAACCAGACAATATGCGTTCTCCATTTGTGCGGCATCGAAAAAAATATCTTTCTCCGGAGCAACACAGTATCCGGACATATCTCAGTAACGCTTCTAAACAGTATTTCAGCGCAAATTCTAAGCGCAACATCTATTTTAACAGACGACCACCTGATCCTCCAAGTAGCAGATACACGTTTTGACAGTATTTATTCCTATAGGCATGCGTTATCTCAATTATTAGTTATACGTCATCCTCAACGTCGGTTTCATGTGCTTCTTATGAACTTGTCAGGTATATCATATACTCTTGCCGTAACGAGCGCAAGCCAGCACAGCTGTAATGGTCCATCTTTAACTCATTTGTCCCTAAGTGCTCCAATAAAGTTCAGCATATACTTCCTTTCGTATAAGTAGGTTATGAGGCTATCAGAAATTCTCGAATAAGAACTAATTCATCATAGGGCGCTTAAGGCGATTAAAAAATTGATAATTGTGCTTTCCCATGATCAATTATAGGATTATCTTAAGCGTCCTGGGATGATGAAGTACTTAATAACATAACATGTCTTGTAAATCTTCTCGATAGCAATGCTAAGATGCAATATTCCTTATTTTTCGTTTAAAGTAGGTTTTAGAGACTAACATCTGATATAGCCCATATTCGTGTTGGAAAATTTAAAATGTAAAAGAATGTATGGAATATCATCTAATTTGATGCTGTTAGCCACCAAAATCATGATTAGGCTTAATTATCCATTCATACCTTAGAGTTAGATGGTTCGACATAAGCAATGGATGACTTCGGAAGATCAAGGGAAGTCGAGGTTGGCGGGAAATTCATCCAATCTGGAATTCTCGGTATCGCCTGTGTCGATTGAACTGTGGGAGCGAATGATATATCATCACCTTCCGGCATATTATAAGATCCTGCGAATCTAGGAATCATAACCTAAGGATAATAAAAATGCTATAACAAATAAGGAGAAATACTTCAATATTATTTATACCGTACAATGTCTTTTTTCATCGCATACAAAAAATTAATGATTAGATATCAGCATTGCGCTTTCTTAAGTAATGCATGTTACTTACATGTATTGATAGTAAAAATCAAACAATACCTTTAGGCAGGAAGTTCTAACATGCCCAGAAGTGGACTGGTGAAGATCCAGAGCACCAGGTTTTTCAGGTAATTTAACTTCATCTGAAATCTTAGGTATTGCCTGTGTTGACTGGACCAATGGAGTAAACGAGATGTCCTCTTTCGGACCTGTTAGATGACTCATAATACCCTAAATACGAAAAATAACCCAATATAAATAGACGAACAAAATAGAAGCATATAAATATTCATTACTAGTTGATCTGACTCCAAATGCCTTAATAATTTAAATAATCGCATTGCTTTTGAGCTTAGTTCAAAGATAATAATTTAGTGCAGTAATAAGAATAAAAATACCTGTTTAGAAGAGTAGATATATTGACTAAAT